AAAAATTTTTCACCAAAAGGGTTGTCAAGCATTGGAACAGGCTGCCCAGGGAAGTGGTTGAGTCCCCACCCCTGGATGTATTTAAAAGACGGGCAGACGAGGTGCCTAGGGACATGGTTTAGTGGTGGGATGGCAGCATTAGGTTAATGGCTGGAATTGATGATCTTAAAGGTCTTTTCCAACCTAAACCATTCTATGATTCGATGACTCTCCTCACCCTGACATAGCCCTTGTGCATCTTCACAGAGCCCAGAAAGGGGACAGATAGCAAGACGTTCATCCTGTCTTCCCACAACAATGTCAGTATCCAAGGCGTCAGGCTGCCATTTGCTAACATAAACCATGGTGGGCAGGAAAGTCATCCTGTATACAGAGACAAAAAATGACCTGTGTAACCTAAGGAAACCAGACGACAACAGCAAAACATCACTTGCAAGTAAATGTCTATTTTTTGGAGGTCCTAAATTTTACTTTAACGAACTTATCTTTTAGTACTGTTATTTTAATTAACTTGGCCAGTGAATTTCAGTCCCCAGGAGGAAATCTTTACTTACTACCTTGTCCCTTCCAGAACAGGCCATGGTTGCATTTACATTGGTTGTGGAGAGGCACAACACTCACCCTCACTGACCTAGAAGCTAAACTAACTCAACCAAACTAAAAAAGCACGTGGTGCTAAGTTCTCCGAGCATCTTCACCAACAGAGACCACTGCTTTAGAAAACAGGAACTGACGATGCTCTGTGCTGGGAGATTAAAACACAGGAATGGGAGAACAAGCGTGCTCCTCTTGCACTCTTGCATCCAAACTGCTCAGGAATGAAACCTTACTAAACCACGAAACTATGCTAAGTCACATCCCCTTCACAGACAACAGACCTGCAAATTGCCAAATGAATTATGGCTCAGGCATGTACCTGCTCTCCCTGACCTAGGGTTGCTACAGAAGGAAGAGGAACATAGCACCAATTTAGTGAAGTGAAATGAAATGTAAGTTTCAGTAACAGTGGGTAATAATGACTTCACATGCAAATGGCTGTAATCCATTTTTACCACAGCACAGATTATGTGCAAGGCATTGGCCTCTTCAGGTTTTAAAAAACAGCATACTTTTCCTTTAGCATACAACATAAAATGCCGTATAAAGTGAACAGAAAGATAAAAAAAAGCCCACAAACTCACACAACCCTACACCTACGGAGCAAGGTGAACATATCCTTCCCTACCACAGGTCTTATGATCCTGACTCACTCCGTGCCTCTCAAGCCTGTTGCATTTCTTTACCACGCTATGTGATCTACTACTCAGTCCCTCCTTCAGAGCTCCTAACAGGAACATCTTGTCACCCTAATGAAAAGCTGGTCAACATCATCATCTTCTTCACTATTACCTTGCTTTCAGTTTTCTGCATGGTATGCACATGCTACAACAATTGCATCAGGGATATCACAGCTACTTCTCACAGATAAACAAATCCACACACAATCAGGCACAAGAATCCTAAAAAACTCCCTCTATATTTTAATTCCTGGCAGACATCTACTTTTTCTGCAAGTAGAGCATTATCTCAATTAGGAACAGCTTGTTGAAGATATTTGAAGTCAGCAGCCAAATCTCCTAAAGGAAATTCAGCTTTACACACCATTCTAGTCACTGAAAACTCAGGCAGACCTGAGACCCAAGAGCAGACGTGTTTTCTCCCTCCTGCTCCCCAAGTCTTCAGAGGAGTCTGTACCGTTTACTTTAAAATTACAGTACCTGTTGTGAAAGAATGGGTATAAATTTGCATTAAATCTTCCCTACATAATTAAAGGTAACAATCCTGCAGGATTTCTGGTTTCACGCATTCTAGCAAGCTAGCTTGCTGATGAAGCTTTCTTGGCAAGTCATAGAACCCACACATCTTCAGGAGCAAACCCAGGAAATCAAGAGAGGCAAAGATCTCTGTAGTAGAACCAACAAATCTGACCGAACATGCTATCAGAAGAGAGGCCATGTTGCTGCAACTCCCTCATGTGCACACCCTTTGCTCCTTACCCACATCTCATCTACTGCTTTTAGCCACCTCTTCTGCAATCGTAACTGTGGCAGGAGTTGTGCATGTGCCGTAGCCCACATGACACTGTTTGAACCGGGCTCGGACACAAGCTCTCCTTCAGACCGCAAACAAGGAAGTCACAGCATGCACCTGCTAGATGCGAGGCAGCAGATGCTACCTTCCAAGAATACCTTCCACGAAAATCTGCTAAACGAGTGGAAAAACAAGAACTAAGGGAGCAACGAGCCCCCTGTGGAATTCAGGACAAGTTCAAATACCGACAGAAGTCAGTACAAGGATAGAAGGCAGAGGTTGGAGTTGTACGGGGGTAACACCACACTGCTACTACATTTATTTTAGTCTTTGAATTATTAAACTATGAATGCAATTAGGGAAACTGTTTAGATTTTCACTTTTGCTCCAAAGTTTATTATTTGCCCTATCTATATTAGCTTTTCAAATGACAGACTTCCACCCTATTGTCAAGCTTCACATGAAAAAAAAGAAAAAAGCGCTCATCGGGAGTAACTACATTATAAATTCCATACAATAAAGAGTTAAAGAAAAGTGAGGCAGCTTTGTGAAGAGGTTAACACTTTCTCAAGTGAGAGCACAGGCAGTATGAAAGTGAAAGGACACAATGTAAGCCTTTCTACTCTTTGCCTAGCTTTTATTAAATGGTACATATAAACTTCTTTTGTGCTTCCAGTAGAGAACATTTTTCCCCTATTTGTCTCAAAAAAACCCAAACCCAAAACAATAGAACTTAAAAAAAACAACCCAAAAAAATTAAATAGCAGGTTTTATGTAGCTTTATTTCACAAAATTTTCTCTCCCCAAAAGGACACGGAGGTAACGTTTGTTTCATCTATATCAATTAAGCATAGCAAATTAGAAGTCAAAGTGTTTTCTCATTAAAGATTCTACCCATGGCCTAAAGGGGATGGCAGAAGAGCTCCAGCAACTCTTGCAGAGGCAGACCAACGTATTACAGCCACAGCTCTTTTTTTCCCTCTGCCCATCCACTGAGGATTTGCTGCCCACATGGCACAGCTAGCAGAAGATACGATGCACTTGTGCCTCAGCTACTCTACTGTAAAGTGCCATGTTTCAGCATAAGTTGCTGATAAAGATGAACAAGAGCTACGCTACCAGACCTTACAGCGAAATGAAGTACAGGCACATGTTAACTTCTGCTGACACAGCTATGAGTGAAGAACCAGAAAAGCTGACTCCCTATGCCATTCCAGCAGCAGCACATCAGCTCCCTAGAAATCCAGCTGTGCTGCTGCTTGCCTGGTAGTTATCAGTTGTAAAGGTTATGAACCCAAACTAGAGCTTTTGTCACACAGTCCAACAGTGGGTTTCCATGTGTAGTTATTGCAAGTGAAGCCTCTACAGCCAAGCATAGAATAAAAATAGAACACTGTCCAAAAGCTCTTTTCCATTTGAAAAGGAGAAACCAAAAGCAATTATAGAGAATAGAAATCTGCAACTTTGAAACACAGTGATCTCATCGGAGTACCTCTTGGCCACAGGGACCAATTGGGACAGGAAAGCCCATCATCAAATCACGTAGGTGGGAGGCAATTCTAACCGAACACTGGGAACAGAACTACCCCAGCACTGCGTACTCCCATCAAAGCCTCTTTCAAGCAAGGTAAGCAGTGCTTGCGCCCTCTAGAAAGCAATGCCATCTTCTCATAGAAGAGTGCCGACTTCTCGGTGGAGATGTTATGTGGGCAGGGAGAAGAGTTCTGCTGAAACATCTAGTTAATATCTGCTAAACACGAGTAGTCAAGCACTTGTGGAAGAGCACTGCAGGAGTGGGTTTGGTGATGTTTGGTTATGTTTGGTTTTGTTTCTTTTAAATTAAGTCATGCAACACATGGAAGGTAGGGGCAAATCATTTTTCCAGGCATTCACCGCATTGCCAGCAATGAGATGTGCCACAACAGCAAGTGTTAGCTCTATGCAGCTGTTACCTATAGGTCAATGGCATTTAAAATAGAAAATCTTTCTTACACAGTGTTATGAATAAAATTGCACTTGATTTCGTTAAAAACTCATATCACTGTAACTTTTCCAAATATTTCCTTTCTGGCATCTTAATTTTCTTCATTAACAGGAGCTTCTCTCTAAAAACCTCTCATCCGTGTCGGACACATGACATGCAACAGCAGTAAGCCATTATCTACCAGAAAACGGGTCTGTTGTTTCTTCAGTGCTTGTTTTTATCTGTCCCCACCCTCCCCCCAAAAAAGGTACAGGCAGTTCACCCCTAAGTGTCAATTATAACATTGAAATATAAACTCCTCAAGCAGACATTAGGAATTTTAGTTTCACAGATTAAATATTTGAAAAGTTACAGAAGGTGCTGGAATAGTACACATTTAAATTGCTTAAAAATCCAAACTTGCAGCAACTTTGTAAATTCAAATTTCCAAAAGGTTTATAATGTCCTTGTGAACTTCTTCCACAGCAAGACGCTCTCATGACAATAAAGCATCAAACGTCCAAGGCCGAGATCAAGAAACAAATCAGCAGGATGCACTTGCTCCACCAAGCAACTTTAAAAGAGGCGTCTCCACTTCCAGTAACAAAAAGCTACTCCTTCATTCCATTTTGGACCTTTCAAAGTGTGTAATCATTCTTTCCTGGAAGATAAAATACCCAATGTTTGTCATTTCCCCCGACAGGTTTACATTATTCAGAAATAAGGTGGTATGCTTTGCACATTCACAACAAATGCACACTCGTATGCATTTTAAGTCAGGAGTCCAACTTACACAACAGATGTACCACTTCTTTTAGAATACATGTTTATATTCTAAGAAGTTGTGTCACGGTTGTCCCCACTGTCCTTCCCCACCCCCCGGCATTATACTGCTGTCTTGGCAAGATCAGAGAGGCCAGTTCTAATAAGCCAAGTCTTTAACAGCTGACTCATGACTCCTTTGGCATGTCAGAAGACTAAATTGAACTGAAGATTTGTTTACTGACCTCATCTGAATCCAGAAGAGCTGGAAGAGCGCTGTGAGGAGGGGGGGGAAAAGAAAAAAGAAATAGTTAAGAGCATTAGAGCACCTACTTAGAGCATATTACTGACAATCATTTTCAGCCTTATGTTTCACCTTAAGCTTTTCAGGGCACAGGAGAGCAATAATGAAGACAGACCTTTCAATTAGACAGAAATTAGAGAAAGACACATAAAAGAGGAAGAGGCCAAGAAGTATCCTCAATGGCCTTCACAGTTTTAAAATTCTTTTTTTCTAAGCTTCTCGTTACCATCTGAACAATTTCCAAGTTGCATCAAAATAAGCTGCATCATTCATATGGGAACACTGCTGAACTACACTGAAGACACTTACAGTATGAGACTATATTGTAAAAACACATCCCAGAGATCAAATAAGTTATGCTGGTACCATAGCCTTTTCAGCTACAATAGACCTTCCATCTGTCTATTGGGATCTCATCTCTTCAGAAACCTGATCAACATACTTTCAAGAACAGAAAAACCTGCAGCAGACTACGTCAACATGCCCTTTCCTAGCTAATACCAGTCTAGTTGTTTTCTTAAGAAATCCTACCATTCTTCAAAAAATAAGTCCTAGAACTGGGAAAAACAAATTTAATTGAGAAAGTGCACTTTTTTATCCTCTTGAAGCTTCAGCTGATTTCTTGTCTTTAACTTCAAGCATAGTTTTGTACTTAAATCCAGAGCCTCTGCCAAGATTACCTATTGAGATTTGTGAACATAGTTAATTTGTGAACGTCTTTTTTCCTATGAAAAATTTAGACACAGGCACTGACATTTTTAGGATGTAAAAGTTATTAAAAGCAGAATAGATATGGACTGCCTACATAGCTGACTATATTGCCAGAAGCATAAAAATGACTCAACAGACATTCCAAATAAAGTTGAGAACTAAGTGACATTATTCAGTGGTTTACATTCGGCATGATACTCAAAGGACTTTTCCAGATCAATAAGCAGAAAGAGAGGGTTTGTGTGTTCTTTGTTTTCTGGATTTATTTAGTTAGTTTGCACTTCGGTGAAGCGCAAACAAATCAGTCTGTGGTTTCACAGTCCAAGATGGTATTCCTTAAGTCAGTCTGTGTTCGAGTGCCATGGACTCTTACAGACTGCATAAAGCCAAGTGGAAGCATTTTAAGAAGTCAGAGGCCAATTCCAGGCTGAACTCAGTACCTGCTCATGTAAGTGCAGCATACAAGCTATAAGGCATTCTAATGTATTTGTGTTCCTGTGTCCAAGGAACATGCTTTTATTGCAACTATAAAAATACTCACACATCTGTCACTGACGAAGGAACGTTCTCCTCTACCCACTTCAGGTCATCCTCCTGCTACAAGTACAGCAATTAAATGGAAAACAAATGTCAGTTTTCCCAAAACACTGTCACATGCAAGCCTTTTTCTTCTCAGCCTACTTGAAAAAAACCGATGTATTTATAATGTCACTTCAAAAGAATCCACCTCCAACTTGATTTCTGGATTACAGAAAAAACATTCCAAGAAAAAAACAAAAACCCACCTATGACTTACTGTCACCTCTGTATTAGTCTGATAGAGACTAGGAAAAGCGGGCCCTCAGGACACTCCGGTTATTGACATGATCTTTTTTAGTCTCCCACAAAACAACATTATCTTTAGAACATATACATGAAAAATTATTATAAAAATAACAAGCTAAATTTTGCAAAGCTAAGTTAAACTGTATTATCAGGATTTCTCATTTCTATCTGATGAGCACTCTCCAATTCACAACACAAGCACGCTTGTTTTGAATTTGGACAACTGACCCTTTCTGATCCCCTCCATCCCCAAAATAGGAAAGTTTGATTTTCATGTTATCCTCAGGTAAGTAGCATAGAGTTGCAACCAACCTTCGAGAAAAAGAGTGTTAACAACAAAAATACTCTCATGAATCCCTACAGGTTCTTTCCACTTTTTAAATTTATGCATGAATTCCATGAAAAGATTCTGAGACATATTTCTACCTCCTAACGGAATGTGAAACCACCTTTGCTTGTGAGCCACAGGGAAAGAATGCAGATATATTAGAAGTGTTCCATCCAAACTATTTAAGTAGCTACATAATAATATACACATCACCCTATTCGTGTAATGAATCACAAATCTCAACACTAGAAAGGCAATTAATTTATTAAATAAAGAGGCTCAGCCTGACAAACTTGTTAAAATACTGTATTATTCATTATCAGAATATAGTACAATACAGTTCTATCTATACTGGATTGTGCAAACATTCCTGAAGAACAGACTGAATACTAAGGCTTCCATTGCACTTACAGGAAATTAGATTAAAAACCTGTATTTATTTTCTGTTCAGAAGCACTGTAAGTGTACAATACTTTGGCTCACTCCCACTCTGAAGCAAACCAGGACACTCAAGTTTATAAACTGAACACTTTGCATCTTTGTAAGCTACTACGAGGGGGCAGCCAAAGAGAGATGTATCTATACCCTTCGAGGTAGGGAGGGGATACTCACAGCTTTATTTGCTTTTACATTCCCATTTGGTTCTTGCTTTGTACTTCTCATTTTCATTCCCTCTGAAGACAAAAGAAGGAAAAAATATTGGGATAACTTAACTATAATTGTTCATAGACTGTATGTGAAAGCATTGAGTATTCATTCAGAATATTTCATCAAATCCAAAGAGACAGAGTAAGACAGACAAGTTACTCATTATGACAATGCTTTCCCTTTGAAAGGCTTGTATTTTTCTTGACAGGTGGAATACCTAGTTCTTCCTGAATTTTGTAATTTTACCTAGGAAGCATCAACTTCTAGTCCTTCTCTTGAAGCCATGCGTAAGTAGCATAGAACTTAAAGACATATTTTGCCCAGAGAGGCTGTGGAACCTGCATCCTTGTACTCAAAAGCCATTTAGATACACTCCAGGGCAACCTGTTCCAGGTGACCCTCCTTGAGCAGGGTGTTTGGTCAGGATGACCACCAGAGGTCCCTTCCAACCTCAACCATTCCAAGACATGTGCAAGTGCCAAAATTTATTTTACCTACTGACTGCTGACCAGTCACTTGGTTGACTTAAGAGCTGAGAGGCAACATGTATCTCCCAGCCCAGCAGCCAGCCAGATACAGCTGATTTGGCAAATGCACATAAGGGATTACACACTTCTCAGCTCCTAAACAAGTGAAACAGTACTGATATATCTCAGCAGAATTGATTTGTGGACAGACAGCGAGTATGTCACCCTACCATTTACACAACTTATCACCAATAGTGTTACAAGGATAATAGACATAATAGGGAGATAGGAGGCAGGGAAAAGAGAAGGTTTTGTAGTAGGAAGGGAACAAGTGAAGAGAAAGATGCAACCTCGTGTCATAAAGCAGGACTCTTTCATTCATAGGTAATTTCATGAATATGTAAACATATTCATCCATGTTTACACTGGACATTCCTGTACTAGGCCCTAATATGGAAAACTAAGAACTCTGCAGAGTTCAGAGAACAGATAAATAAATGAAAATTCTTAAAGTGAATTTTAAAAGAGAACTGCAGACTAAATCACTGCCTAGCAACAATATCCGGGAGATCCTTGGATATCCATTATCATGACTGGATCCAAACCTATGATTTGAACATTTAATAGAACAAAGTCCAGTGGACATGGTAAGGCAACCACAACAGTAGCAGTGTGTTCAGTGACATCTGAAAACCCCGCAATTAAACAAGCAATGTAAACACTAAAGATAAAGCCAGTGTTTCCTGTACAACTGCATAAATCAATGGCAACAGGGAGGCATTGACTTTTACAGCAGTAGTGAACTTTTTGCCAGAGAACAAGAGACCTCCCTCCACAGAAGTGTCTCTTCAACACTGAAATTTTTCTCTTACCAAAACTTTCCTTTAACATTGGTTCTTTCTGCTCATCATCCTCCTCCTCTTCAGACAGTGGGGAGAAAGCAAACCTTTAGGAGGAAAAGAATGAAAGCTATCTTAGAATAGCATCTCTTGCCACCAAGATATCATAACCCAAACATTCACAACTTGATTATTCTGTCTAGATCGTTGTTTTTAAGACCTATGCTAAACTACATAATCAAAAGTTTAAGTCACTTCTTTTTGAGTAAGTTCACCACTAGGAACAGATAGAATTTTACCTGTGTGACTTCCTACACTTACTTTTCCTCAAGCCCCTACACACACTGCTTAGTATCCATATGGATCAGTATACAGCAACTAAAAATCACCCACCAGTACTCCACTGGATAAACAAGCATTCCCCAAAACCACTATTTTTAGAAAGAAGTAAGAAAAGCTGAACCTTTGGTTGTTAGCAGATGGTCTCCACAGAATCATGATGACAAAAAGGATCATAGAAAACAGTAAGCGCCAGATGGCATCATCCACCCATAGCTCCTGCCAGTCCTGTCAAGGAAAACAGCAGCACAAATAGGAAAAGTTGTGAAGAAAGAGACTCCATGCCGTCCGCTCCTTCCAAGGGTGAACTATAGACATCTGACAAAGAGGCTCATTTCCCACAACAGTGAGAATTTTAGCATGTGGTATATTAGGCATAATCCACAGAAAAATCTGTTCCAGAATGTGCAATCTCAGCTCTTACACTACCAAATGTAAATTGATCAAGAGGCAGCAACTGCAGAAAGCATTAAATATAAACTCACCGACTGACAGTCCACCAGCCTGAACTTCATGGTGGTCCAGATGATAAATACAATCGATGCTGCAAGATTAAAACAAACAAGCTGCTTATTACTACAAAATATGCTAATCCAAATACACTACTAACAGGACCATGTTTCCCAAACAAAGGGCAAAGACCTAAACAGTAAATTCTCAGAATCCAATTTATTAGTTTTGAAAAACAAGAGACTGATTTATTGCACTGACCTTATACAGTAGCTTAGGTACAGACCAGCATATTTTGTTCTTGGTTCTTCAGAGACACAAGACATAAATCAAGTATGAAGTACTGGGCCAAACTACTCATCCTTATTTACTATTCTTACATTACTTCCATCTAGTGTCCAACCCATGGTTTCATTATCAGTTGACAAATAAAGACTACCTTTAAGTAAATGAACCATCTGATCTGCCTGAATGCCCAGCCATTCAGATCTTGACCCACAGGAGTTCCAACGCTTAAACTATGCTCTCACCACAGTTTTAGAAGATGAGACTTTCCTTCCACTAAGGGGTTCTATGATGACTAAGAGCCAGATGCTGCAAGGAATTTAATCGAGCTGTCAATTAAAAGGAAAGCACTTCTTTGTTTAAAAAAAGCACAGTGCTTAGAAGTTTTCTGCTCATTGTATGGGTAGCATTTCCAAATAGATGAGGAGCCAAGCACCTGGAAGCACCGACACATTTATTCTTGAAGTTCACTTCATCACTACGACAAATGGAAAGAGAATCTGAATCTGTATTCTGGAAGAATACAGAGGGCATTACGTTACAATACCAAGAATACTGTTTTTCCAAGAATCACTCTAGTCTTCAGCTATCTGGTCTTCAGATGCCTTAAAAATCTCATAGCATGCAGCAATACTGTGATTTTGGCAAAAACTATCTCTGTGAAGTTAACAACATAGATAAAAATCTTTTGCCCACAGCAGCTTTAAGATGGACAAAAGCGCTCTGTTAGAGGAGCTGCACAGAACTACTGATCTTATTAGCACCAGGACTAATAATCCACTGCCTCTGAAGTATCAACATAACACTTGGGATAGCTCCACTATTAGAAACGGGTCAAGTGTTAGAAATATCAAGTACTTTGATTGCATTTAAACAAAGTTCACCGAAGTCAAAAGTCTGCTTTAGTGATCAAATCAAGCCATATATGGAAATGGCAAGTGCCCTTATTTGATTAATGTAATTTACTGCTTACCTGCTACTGCCAAGATGAGCGTGTTGGTGAAGTGCCGATACAAAGAGAGTTTCACAACATTCCTTCGAAGTTTTAGCAGTTTCATTGTTTGTGTTAAGCTGATGAATATGTACAGAAAGTCAAGGAAAGCCTCTGAAGGGACAAGCTGGTCACAGATGTAAGAGGACACAGATCTTACGATCAACAGCTCTCCCACCCACACACTTAACCCTTGAAAAAGTTAGACCAGCCTCAGTAGAAGTTCATCCTATGGCAAAGGTGCCAAAGAGCAGGATCCATCCCTTTCATGTTATTTAGTCATCTAAACCTAGAACTCTTGTCACACAAAGGTGGCATCCAAGCACTTATTTTGGACTATGGCCTATTCCTTCGGAAAAGCGTCAAATGTATTTCTGATTAATGGAAAATCAAGTCCAAAGTAGAAGCCAGTTAAAATCCAAATTAAGTGGATTTTAACATGTGTCTTCACACTTTTGCCTACAATGTAATCTCCATAGTGACAAAACAAGTGCTTAGGAAAGACATCATGGTAGGAGAGAATTGGGGTTGTCACGGCTGGGCAGCAAGCCTTTCACATTTTAAATAGAGTTTTGCAATTGACTTTCACTAACAACACTTTATAAGGATTCTGCTATACATGGCTTTGAGTTTGACATTTAACAGCAGCTGGTAAAGTCACATAAGATTATGGTTGTTTGCATGTAATATGTCAAGACCCCATTTTGTCTCCTAACTGCTTCAAAATGAGTACAAATTTTACAGAATTTTAGGTTTGATGTTGCTAAGAAACCTTCCCAAAACATAAACAGAGTCTGTTCTCCAAATGCTAGTACTATGGTATTGCTACAGTGCTACACTAGAACAAAACAATTTCATAATTCAATAATCAGAGACTGGTAACAGACAGCTTTGGCTAGTCCATGTTCAGGGTCAGCTCTAACACAGGTATCTACTGGTTATCTAGTTTTCCTTGCACTGGCTGTAGCAAAAGCTTACCTGAACACTCAATTACAGAAGTTCTATTAACTTTATCAGAAGTAGAAAGAACATATACTTGAAGCTGATTAAAAAAAGTTCAGCCAAAAAGACTCCCAAAAAAACAAATGTGAAAGAAAATACACCCCACCAAGTAAAATAGTGAAGGATATCCACCAGCACAGGGCAGTATCTAGGAAAGCCAGGGGAATAAAAGCCAAGGAGGCAAGATCATTCTGGGCCTAGAGACAAAGAGAGAGCCAATAAGAACAAACTGAAAAGGAAACAGAGGAAGCAAGGAGGATCAGGCTGTTTTGTGAGAAACCACAAATACTCCACCACAATGCTTCTGAGTTTTACTACAGAAGCAGACGGTTTGAACCAACAGTTTAGCCCAATGCACAGAGGGGAACTGACAAGACCACACTGTCAGTTCTCAGTTTTCCACCAGCAAGTATTTTCCAGATTAAATCAATCCAGCACCACTAAAAGGAGCCTCCGTTAAGGCGACTGCTGCAGTGATGTGCTCTGGCCACCTCCATTACAGAAAACTAGCAATCAGCTTGTTAAAAATGTAGCAATTAAATCTTTTACACTATCCATGGATGAACTGAACTCCACTGGCAACCATGAGTTTGACTGACAGTGGCACAAATTGCCTTTGCATACGTATCAAAAATTATCAAAGTCCCAACTGAAACAAGCAAATCACCTTCCATTCCTTTTAAGACAAATAATAAGCTGTGAATAAGCTTGTGACATTCTGCAGTTTATGAAAGGATATCCACAAAATAATACAGGCATCAATCATGGACAGGGCCAAGTTTGCTATCAGAGCCACAGTGTCATAGAAAAACTGAAAAAGTACCAAATATATGACATGTTAAATACTTGATCCCAAAATACCAAAAACAGAACAACTGAAATCTACATTCTGAGACACACTTCTTAATGAAGCTAGCAGCAGCACCACTCACATGTACATCCTAAGTACAGCCTCCAAAATTGGAGTGGTGGTACATTTTAGTTATTTTGGTTTTTTTGTTTGGTTGTTTTGTTTAACTCATGGCAAGGTGACCCAAGCTATGTATTTGTGTCTGCAACTAGCCCTACCTAATCTGAAGTATTAGACACATGGGTCCAGACGAATATGTGTCTGAAACCTGACTGATCAGAAAACTATTAGAATTATTTCAAAATATACAGAATTATATCCTGATAAATAGAGAAGACATCAAACTTAAACTCTGAAACTGTGGATATGAATTATTAACAATTAACTACTTCATTGTCTCTGTTCCCTTCTTTCAGCATAGCCCTGGGATTTGCCCTTAGCATACAAGTAAATAAAGCCAGTAGCATCTGCAGCATATGGGAAAGTTCAAGCAGTTATTACTGACCCCTGTGACTCTAAGAACACCTTCCATGCCAGAAAATAATAGGTAAAGGGCTCCAGCCATAACTACTTTGTGAAGAGTGACTCCAAGGCGAGGCCTGTAGGAAAACAAAGTGAAATTTAGATGAAGTGGGAGGAAAAAAAAATGAAGTCATTGAGTTTAATATAAGGTATGAAGCATGGGATTAAAGGGTCCTCGTGACAAGCCACTTTTAGATCCAGAAATAATTTTATTATGGTGCTCAAAGCTTACTATTCATTTTGTCTTACGAGAGGATGTGACTAAGGAAGAGATCGGTAACAGTCCTGGTTTCCTAGTTAGCCTCTTCAGCTTTTTACAAACATTTCAAGAAATCTTAGCTCACCCCTTTTTCACCAGTTCCCCCAGAACACCCACACTTGCTAGAAGTCTTGCTAGAAGTTGTCACTACCACACAGCATGTTGTTTTACCACTGAATACAGCTAGAGACAGACAGAGGAGCAGCAATTTTGGCAGCAGAAGCCTCCTAAAGTAGATCCCCTCCCCCATCAGTGATTCTTGACCTCTCCCATTTCTAGAAGCACCTCCTTGCCCCGAGGGCAGACATATAAAGCTCCCATTCCAGTCATCAATGTATCTCAACAGTGATTCAGAAACCTACCCAACAGTGGTACATGGAAGGGGGTGGGAAGAAGGGAAATCACCATGTGGAATTGTGATTGTCTCTTAACTAGAGAAGAACTCTAGACCTTTACAGCACTTAACTAAGGCACCTACCTTTTAAGCAGCAAAGTACAGGGAGATGAATACTGCCCTAAGTTATTAAAAACCAACAGCCAAAAGCCTTTTAATAGAACACAAAACCCTGTAACAGAATTACTCACTTGACTATCCCATATCCCAGGCTGACTATGATGACCAGAGTTCGAGCCAATGAGCGCTTCACAGCAGAAAGCAGTTCTGCCAGTATTACTGCTCCTTGAACTACCAAAAGCAAAGAGGAGGAAGCTATGTTATTAAAATATAACTTCTGTTTTATTAACTACTGCATGCAATTGTAGTATGAGAGCAGACATAATTATTTTCAGAAAGTAGGCTATTAAAGTGTATAATTTTTTTTATTACCCACATCTGGAGTGGGCTTTCAGAAAAGATAGGTCACGTAGCATAAAAAAAGCTACTGAAAAATTTTACATCCATAGAAAGTGGAGATAAGTGATCCAAAAAACTTTTATCTGTAAGATCAGCCTGGATGACCTTCCAAACAAGTCAACCAACAAAACCTTCTGTACCATGACTGTGGCCAATCAACAAAGTCATAATGAAGTTTTATTTGCAGAGTTTCATTTGTATGCATCCATCCTAAAAACTCAAAACCAGTCCCCCAAAGTTTTATGCAGAGAGAAACACCTAAAATGGATTATCAGGCTATGGGTCATCTGACATGCTGTCATGTTGAACAAGAAGTTTTATTGTCTCTTTCCAAGGCCAATACCAACTGTATGAAATTAATTACAAGCTACACTTCGGAAGTCCTATTTTAAACTGCAAGCCAGTGTTACAGTGAATACTCCCCAGCATCTAGCATTCTACATCCCCAAAACACTACAGAGTTAAAGAAAGCAATGGCGTTTTAGCTTTAGAAGAGCACAGATCATCCTATTTACAATATAATTTTAAAAAAATGCAGAAAGTCTGGTTCCCTTTTCTTTGTTCTTACAAATCATATACTTAATATGTATCTGACACCCCAATTTAAGATAAGCCATTAGTACTACGCCCCATCAAAAACTGCAAGCTGCAATTGCTGTTGCTACCTACCAGATTCCCCTGTGTAGCGGATATTCTGGAACTCTGCATAGAAAACTGCTTTCTCAAGCATTCCCAGGAAGATAACAGCACCAATCCAGAACTGGATCCTCAGGAGATCCCGCCAGTAACAGGCTGACCATGCAAGCCATAGAACTCCAAAGAATACGTACACAATACACATCACCATGAAAAACTATTACACAAAAAGAAGCAAGAAACAGGAACCTTAGACACAGAAAAATAATTTCCTTGTTTCCATTCCATAGTTGTAAGACAGCTCTATTTTCTCCCCAAGTATAGCAATTTTTGAAGTTTTTATATACAAAAGTGACTAGAAACACGCATTGCTTCATCTGTCTTCTCTGGATTCTTTTACAGCGACTGTCAACAACAGGAATCAGAGTAATTGAATTTCTGAGCAATCTCTCTCTTGAAGAGCAGTCTGCCAATTTATTCCCAGGCAATTTTTCTAAGGAAGATATCAAGTGCTACTAGCTTTCAAAAACTCAGATAAGAGCTCAGGCAAATCATCAAGTACTAGACACTCTGCCCCTTCTCACATGCTATTCTATTTCTAACCTCATAGTACATTTGCAGTACTCTGCAAGTAAGCTTGCAAGTTAACTTTACACACCATTCCACAGAACAGAGACAAGTAACCGATGCTTGTAATCCTTCTGTTCAACTAATTTGACAACTTCTCTCAAAAGTTAATTTCCAGCAAATTCAGTTTTTGACCAAGCTTTAGGTCAGCCAAAAATCTGGAACTGAAAAAGAAACCCAGACACTCATTTAAATATTATCATCTTGCAATTTTTTTTTCCTCAGTCCTGCGTTACTTGCTTTAAAAGAACTTTCAGGGTACACGTCTCCTACAGTAAACAATAAGCTTGACAGTGCTGAGTTTTCTGAACAGCAGCACCATACCAGAGCAAGTTAAGTTTTCAGAAAGAACACTGAGATTCAGAGGGATAAGGAGAGAGTAAGACATTAAATAAATAGAAGGAAGTACTTAACCAAAGTATAGGACAGTAAAAATCAAGCAGTCTTCTCTTGCAGAAGGTAGATGTTTTTAAACCAAGCAAGCATTGAAGTTAGCTGCACAATCCGCTGAAGCTTTCACAAACTGAAAACACCTCCCTTAGGAGAACAGCTTACTGATCCTTACAGATTTTCACATCTGACTAATCCGTGCAGCTCAAATGGTAAGGACATAGGCATGCTAGTTCACATTCACATGGCCCATTACAGAAACATTTTGACGGAGACCTTTTTCTGGATCTGCCACATGGGGATATTCACACTAGTGCATTACATGTCAACAAAGCTGCTGGAGGCTTTTTGCTTCTATCAGGCTCTCCTATTTAACAGGCCACTCACTCCTGCCAATACAGTCAGGCTAGAGACCTTACTTGTTATTGATCCCCAGCTGAAATCTGTCTACACTACATAAATATTTAAGTTCTTTTATTTTCTTAGCCTCCTGGACAGAGGAAGTCAACAACCAAGTCAACAACTCCTTTGAATAAAAAGCTCTTTGTAGTTCAGTTATGCTTTCACTGCTAGGCAGTATTAAGGACCTCCACACCGGGTGCAAGACAGCTGGTGGAAGAAGGAAGATTAAGCTGTAAAAGAACAAAGAAAGCAGTGACAACTGAAAGGGTAGCTGTAAACAAAAGCACAGAATAGCAAATAGATATGAGCTAAGGAGAAAAATAGCATCAGTAAAACTGCTCATCAGTTTAGAGCTAACCATACTGATATCTTCTGATACCACAAATTGACAGGCATCGAGTCAAACAATCCAGACAAGGACAACACTAGTAGTAGCACATGCAAACATCTGAAATCTGTCTGTTTTCCCTACCCTGTATTTAGTACAAAAGAGAACAACAACAAAAGAAAACCACCCAAAAAAACAAAACCTCAAACCAAACCACACCTTCTGCTAAATTATTTTTTCTGAGACAATGGCTTTGGGTTTCCCAAAGTATGGAAGGAGTATTTAATTGAGATTGAAATCAACTGACAACTTCATAGGTCAAAGAAAAGCTGGTTTACTTACAATCATCAGAGGATAGTCTGCAAGTGAGAGATACTCATATGGCCCCTTCAGTTCTACTGTCACTGTCAAAAGACAATCAAACAACCAAATTGAACAAGAAACAAAAGAGTAAGGCAGGATAAAATACTTAACTAATTTTTACTCAAGCGTAAAGAAACTCCAAATCTTCACATAGCTTTTAAATCTAACTTGCACTTTAATCAAAGAAAGTTAAGATGCATAACACACTCAAGTAAAAGCATGCAAGTAAAACTACACACTCCATTACCAAGTAACTCATGGCAGTACTTAAAGTAAAAGTAATTTGTACTGGAGATTCGTGTGTGACAGGGAAGTTTAGAAACACACACAAGTTAACTTCTTAACGGGATTTTCAAGCTTCTCTAAAGTTTAGATAGGTTATCAATGCACTGTTAGATATAATATAATTTCAAGGTGAAAATTACAATCTTTATATTCTACATAATTTGAGCTTTTTAATATAAATCACTGTATTGGTCTGGACACTTGTGAAACACAACACCAAGCCTCAAAACTGAACTGCTTGGAATTCTTCTTTACTTCCATCATTAAACTGACAGACCAACTGCCTTAGGATCTTCAAGACACTAACAATCACCTATTTTCTTATGATAGGAAAGAGTTGTAGTAGGCAATACTTACAACTATGTGAAGCAAAAGATAGTCTTCGGAAAACGAACCATACAGTACATATTAAAAGTACCTTAGAATACACTCAGACTGGTATACATAAAAAATGGCACTGTATTTTTAGCTTACTATATAAACAGCTATCTTACTTGTAAAGGGCTTATTTTGATATGAGGAAGGTGTTGTTTTCTCCATTCTTTTAACTTTGGTAGTAGAATCCTTCGCAGTTGTAATTCCAATTTGCACAATAAATATATATGGCCCATCTCGCCAAGTTTTGATAACAGCATTCATTGCCTGAAAATAAAATGTCTACATGTAGATAGTGCATAGTCAAGATGACACGACAAAGACAGCACCTAATTATGCTAAGTCTGCTTCTGTCTTCCATGTAAAAATAAAGTTCATCTCCTCACAGCCCTAAAACTTGTTAATAAATATTTGATACGTAAATTTTAAATCTATTTATTAGACATAATACTTAAAATGTAATTGTTTGAATCCAGAAGAATCCTCAAAGACCTGGGAGGCAATCAGGGCTTATCTGCAAATTTAATACTAGCTTACTGCAAGAGTCATCTCAAAGGTACTGCAAAAGCTACAAAGAATTCCGCAAAGTATCCTATTCCTTGTTTTCAGTCTAGAAACATTAGGACCAGAGGTACTTCTTTCCTCCTGAAATCAATTGTTTGGCAACAGCACAGCTACATATAACTCAGCTCCCTGGTGAAGGCTGAATTTTGTAGTCTAAGATAGAAGAGGTAGCTGAGAAGTAAAAAAATTTCCATAGTAGTCATCTCCTGTGGAAATTACCACTGCCCCTGCAACAGCTCTCTTATAACAACTTATAAGACTGAAATCCTACCAACAAACTAACAGAGGAAGCTTGCCCAGTTTTGCACCACAAAACAAATTGGAAGCATCTTTGAGTTCCAGCACACAAAACTATTAATCCCACAACTAAAGAAGTTCTAGCTGACTCAGAAACTGCAATATTTACCAAGAACTTTAAGGTTAAAACTAAGACTATATACATGTATGCCACCCACATGACCACTGCAGAACTACCACAAAGACTTTTTCTGTAACAGTCTCTCCAATAGAATTTCAGTATTAAGAGCACACATTTCTTTTAAGAAATTTCCTGACTACAAGACCTGAAGCCAAAATAATTTTATGCATCAAAAAAGTTTATGCTGATATTGACTGAATTGAAAAGACTTAGTTAAAAATACAGCAAACAAAGTAGAATGGATATATTTTTATAGGTTCATTTTGCATTTAAAATATCTCTATCTCTTGCTGCATTGATTCCTTACATTACAGTTGCACACACAGCTATTTATGATTCAGCTTTAAAGTAAATGCCCATATAAGTACATCGGGAGTTAAATGCGTTTTCTTTATTGGCACTCAGTTTGAAGTTATTTTGACAATTGTTTGAAGTTATTTTGACAATCGTTCCTCTTTAAGACTTGAACATAACATACAATAAAAATACTAACAGATTTGAAAAGCAAAAAAAAGGGACAATGTTTTAAAAGACTCACCAGTTAAAGATGAAACTGAATGTTATCTCTAAGTATTAGTCCCCACTTAAAACAGATCATATCAATGATTACTTTAAATTACTATGAAAAACAAAATTTATTTTTTAATTTATACCATCAGTTTGAATGGTAGGAGTTCTGTATTTCATATATAGAAGCAGCAGTTACTCTGTTTCTATTATTCTGGTTTTCCATGCAGTGCTACTCAGTTTCAAGCTAAAAAAAAAAATCCTTGTGTCAAAAAAACAGAGAATTGCACCATCCCTGGAAATGCTACCAGAAATTTCTTATAAAAAGAAATATTAATTAAAAAAGCCAAATTAAGAATGCTGGATTCCAAGCCATGTTTAAATTCAATTCAATATACATACAGTTTTATCTGCCACCATTGTGTGATTTCCTCCACTCTCCTTCTTATCTTTTAAGCCCTTAAAGAAAAATAGAAAAATGGATAAATCAATATGCTAAAACCATCTCTTCCATGCCTACACTCGTTAGAAGGAAAAAAAAAAAAAAAAAAAAAAAAAAAGAATTACCTCTTGTTTCTCAGGTGAGAGGGGCTCTGGATGAACAAATTCTTTATAGAAAATCTGCAAGTTATAAGAAAGGTATAGCATTTATATGCACTTTATATTAACATGACATTACAAGAGTGTGTTCCAGTAAAGTTGATTATAAGGAAAGATTCTCTGAACAGCTGTATTAGAGAGCTTTCATTTCTCTAAATCAAACAACTGTCCATTTGTGGAGTGAGTCTTGAATACTTAGATTAATTTGTCATTTGAGATTTGCTTTCCCCCCCCTCAAACAACAGGTGTCTATTTTTAGAAGTGGACCCACAGACAACAGTAGTGAAGTTAATATCATTTTCCAGATATGAATCTGTTAGCCATCTCCATTAGCAGATGAAGTCTACACAGACAGAAACAGGATTTGGACATTTCTGCCTTAGCCTATGCAAAAAAGGTCCCTAGATAAGCGGGTGCCTATTAGAGATCCAGATTTTGCCAACTCTGACAAACTATGGTGACTTCAAACCTAGGGAAACTGCTACACCACAAGAAAAAAGCTCAATAATCAGGAGAAATTTCTGTGAAACTTCAGAGATTAATATCTGAGAGGAATATATTTGGTTAAAATTTCAGTAGACTTTCCAAAGGAATTGGAGGATAAGTCACTTAACAACTTTTAAAACCAGTTTCACCAACCTAAATATTCAGTTAGATGCCTGAGTTCACATTACACAGCTAAACCACAAGATCTCTTCTAGAAAAGCAAGTAAAAGTAGAACTGACATTTCTCATATTATTAAACATAAAAAGCAGGCAGCATACAGATTATTTTAAAAAACCTTTCAAGCCATCTTCACATATCAAAGGAATTAGACACATGCAAACAGATTATTGAAAACCCTTTTCAAGTCACCTTTCGGCATGTCTTTTTTCCTTAAAAAAAAAAAAAAAAAAACCACCAAACAAAAACCCTGCAACACTAGGATCAATAGTTATGAGACATTTCCCAGTATTCTCTATCCACAACCCTTTGTCTAAATTGGAAACGGCTGAATACAGATGCAACACTGCACAGTTTGCCTTGAATTCTTAAGTACACCATTAAAGAAAGACAGCATGTTATACTGACACTATCATTAGTATGACTGCACAGCTTCACCTGGTGATATACAGCCAGTGTAGAGACTATGATTGCACACTGCTTCCATGTGCTGTTTTGCATTGTCTTCTCTCTTCCATTTGATTTGTTTCAAACATGTTCTAGCACTACTTATTTTTCATTTTTAACCTGCTATCAATGCTTAAATAACCTATTTCTCAACACACTTTCATTTCCACTATTATAAATGAATGCTATCTGAGCAAAAAATGCCAGTCCTTTATCAACCCAATTTTTTTGGGAGCTTCAGTCTGCTGCCAGAGGTTCACACTTCCACTCAACTAGCAGTAGCCTTCTGTAAGTGAAACAAATTCAAAACACAGAACCACAAAAAAAAAAAAACAAAGAAGCACTGAACTTCACAGTGGTTTCCCCCTGCCTCCCATGGTGGGCCATATAGTGAATAGCAAGGCAGAAGTAAAGCAAAATTAAGAAGTCATCATCGCAGTTTGATTGTCAAACAGATAAAAACGAGTACCTCTCAATCTGCAGTGATACTTACATAGGATGCTAACACATCTAACAGGAACTACCACCTTCTTTGTATATTGTATGAATGAACAGGGCAAACTGTGAAGTTTCTACCCATACCTGAGGCCTGAAAAGCTCAGAGCAATTTGCAAAGAGGAGAGACGCTGTGGCATAGTATCCTGACCAACCAGGATGCTCTTCAGATGTAGCCCCAAAATAGTACTCTGCCTGTTCATCCTGCCAAACATAGAAGAGAACTTAGGTTAGCATGCAACATATCAAGCTGTTTATCTCAGTAGGCAGCTGCAAGGCCTGGAGAGCACCATAATTCCCCTCTGCACACATGCTTGAACAGAATTTAATGGGATAAAGGCCATCAAGACCACACAAGACTATTCTTCCTCAAAGAAAAAAAAACAAGGGGGGGGGAAAGGGAGCAACAACAAAAAAACAGGGGGCAAACACCCCCATACAGGGTTTGAGTAAGAATTAATACCTAATAAAAAAAAAAAAAAAAAAAAAAAAGAAATTGCAGTATTTTTACAGTGGAGGTGCAGCAGCCAGCATAAACTTCAGGTCTCCATAAACAAACTCTACATTACTGTATTAAAGATTAAAAACCTCAGTACTGTGTTAGGTTAGCAGTTACAACGGTCATAATCAATATTTTAAGTAAACATGGAAAAGGTGTTACACAGTATAAACCACAGTTGTGTTCTAGCACATTTAATAGAAACACTATACTTTTTGTATAAATCACTAATACTTGTAATGCGCATCCACGAAGAATAGAATTTAGACTAAACATGAAAATATTCCACTTATTCTATTTGCTGTCATTATGCATTGTTGTAAATAATATTGTCATCTCTCTTAAACTCACACACTTCAGTTTAGAGTCAATGCACTTATTTAAGCTACTAGGTTTAAAAGAATTCTGACAAACACTTCCACCTTACCCAAAACCCAGAAAAGTCAGTAATTCCAGCAAACTTTCCATTCCCAATGATCCAGAAATTTGTTACCTTCCAATGGGGGAGCATGTCTTTTATGCCCAAAGAGCAATGAGGATGCAAGTGAGACATCTCCAATCCCCTCAGCCCCAGATCTGCTTACCCCTAAAAATCATAACCCATGTTTTTCCACACAATTCTTACCCCAAAGTTGAAAACTTCATTGTAGCAGTCAGAATATCTTAAGTACCAAGTAACATTGTAACTTTGGGAGGGATCGCAAGCTTTTTCATCCCCTTCAACTAAAAAAGAAAAAAAGCAGGTAAGAACACCTAAGACACCCTCTGCCTGCCATGCTTTTCCTCCCATTCTGTGCCAAACTACCATAACTATATGCAAACACGAAACTGAAAGCAAAACAATAGAAAAACATTTTCCTCAAGTAATCCGTTACTGTTCAGTGAAATAAAGAAGCATGTGGAAAAGAGAATTCCATTCTAACATTACACAATTCTATTAAAGAGCTGAAGATCATTTGGAAACTTTTTGTTCTCAAGGCAATCAGGCGTATTTCAGCAACTGCAAATACCAAACAAGAGAAGAGCAGTGACTCCCAGTGATTACAATACAGAAAAGAATTTCCCTTTCCAAGATATGTGAGGAACATAGCAGGTAGAGAACACCAGGAACAGGTTAATACTAAGGGCAATTTGCACAGATTTAAATATACCAACACCATCACTAAGAACATAATAAAAAGGTAAGATTTTGCAAGACAACACCCCCACACCCTCAAAATGACAAACAAGCCATCTATACATTAGCTCGCTCTGTCAAAGCTGCAATGCTACCTAAAACAGCAGTAAGACAATCTTGCACTTTGATTTATTAGAGAACACACATGAAAAGTGAAACACAAGACTTCTCCCTCCCCTCAGGAAAGATTGTGTGATTTTTGTGTTTCAAATCTCATTCTGAAAGCCCGATGAAGAAAATTTGACATTAAGAAGGTAAGCTTAACCCATAAACAAAAGGAACAGTGATTATTCTTGGAAGAGCCATTTAGATGATTATGTTTGGGTTTTGCTAGTCAACAGACAGCAAAACCTTTTTAAGTTGACAGCATATTTCTAGTGGCTACGAAGTCCCCACACCTTCACAGGCAACATTCATGTCAGACTAGACACCCACAAATTTGTTACATCTACAGACCTTTTAATTAATGTTTCTATATTGACCACTGCAGAAAAAAAACTGCAATTAGAAAAAAGACCCTGCCATGCAGTCTTAACTGACTAATCCCACTTTAAACCACATGACTACTAAAGCAAGTATACTAAGAGCTAAAAACTCAACAACTGAGTCTCTAATACCAAAGATTAAAAAAAAAAAAGATTGGAATGCAATCACTGAAAAATAGGAGTTTCCCTATGACATCTTCTGCTAAGCATGAAAACAAGGCATACATTCTCCACATAACCCTAGATGTTGCAGAGGGTACAACAAAGAAACTAAGAGGCAACACAAGCACTGCAGTGACATGGGTAGATGGCAAATTCTTAGAAGATCAAATTCGGAACCTCTCAAAAGAGTGCTAAAAAACCAGGAGGGATTCAAAAATA